GCCCTGCGGTGCGGAAGGGTCGCGCCTCCTCTCCCGCGCCCCTGGCTGCGGAGTCGGACTGAAGGAGGCACCTGTTCTGATGTTCCCTCCAGGGCGGTGGCCAGAGGCCCGACGTGGTCCGTGTAAGTTGGGATGCTCTTTACAAACAGTGCTCGGCGTTTAGCCTCATCCTGGGAGCCAGAAACTATGTATTTGCAGAAAATATTCAGATGTGCGAGTTATAAAGATTTGTGATCACACGTGCTAAATACAGGCGGTCTACTTTTTCTTTACTGTTCTTTTGCTCACTTTTCTTTTCAGTAGCCAATGATTGAAGAGGATTAAACTTGAGAAAATGACATTTATTAACTCCATCATTGCTATTGGGCCATTAGAAATTGTAGTAGCAGTACTTGTTCTAGTTCACAAAATGCCTCAATTCTAAGGTAGCCTGGCTTTGCAGGGGAGTGATGAGTGTTGTAATGCTGATTTATGCCAAGGGATGCAAAAAGTGAATTATAATGAGATGGGTTTTTTAATGAGATGAAAATTTATAAACATTTTTAATATTTTTATATCAGGAAAGGAGAGTAGAAGATGGCTTGAAATTAATGAGTCGTATAGAAGAAATAGCTATATTAGCAGTGCAGGTGGAGAGGTTTCAACTGTTCAGATTTCTTAGAAAAAGGCAACGTACCTAATTCCCCCCCCCACTCCCTTTTTTTCATTTACTTAATTATGAAAAATTTCAAACATAGACAGTCTTCAGTTTGGGCTTTTTGTACTTTATACTATTTTCTGTCTTTTTAGTTCAGTAATATTAAGCTGATGCTGGGGTCCAACCCCAGCGGGTCCAGGGGTCCCCAAAGGTGTGGACGGAGTCGGCGAAGAAGGAATGACACAGAGGCAGCCTTCAGTTGATCAGCAGCCCAGCCAGGATCTCTAGCCAGGATCTCCAGCCAAGTTCTGGTCAGGATCTCCAGCCAAGTTCTGGTCAGGATCTCCAGCCAAGTTCTGGTCAGGATCTCCAGCCAAGTTCTGGTCAGGATCTCCAGCCAAGTTCTGGTCAGGATCTCCAGCCAAGTTCTGGTCAGGATCTCCAGCCAAGTTCTGGTCAGGATCTCCAGCCAAGTTCTGGTCAGGATCTCCAGCCAAGTTCTGGTCAGGATCTCCAGCCAAGTTCTGGTCAGGATCTCCAGCCAAGTTCTGGTCAGGATCTCCAGCCAAGTTCTGGTCAGGATCTCCAGCCAAGTTCTGGTCAGGATCTCCAGCCAAGTTCTGGTCAGGATCTCCAGCCAAGTTCTGGTCAGGATCTCCAGCCAAGTTCTGGTCAGGATCTCCAGCCAAGTTCTGGTCAGGATCTCCAGCCAAGTTCTGGTCAGGATCTCCAGCCAAGTTCTGGTCAGGATCTCCAGCCAAGTTCTGGTCAGGATCTCCAGCCAAGTTCTGGTCAGGATCTCCAGCCAAGTTCTGGTCAGGATCTCCAGCCAAGTTCTGGTCAGGATCTCCAGCCAAGTTCTGGTTAGGATCTCCAGCCAGGTTCAGTCACCAGGTTCTAGTCAGGTTCTCTTGC